TAAAATATATTTTGTTCCATTTTTTCAATTTTTCGGTCCTAATAGTGGAATTTAATTGTAACTTAAAGAATATAATAGAAAAATAAAATCTGGTTTTATATGCTCAGTTTCATTAACAAATTTAGAAACATCAAGAAAAGCTTTGAGTGTGTCTGAAAATGCATAATTTTGAGACATTTTCACAGAATTATTTTGTATTTCGAAAAATGTAATGATCGTAATGTGAATATTAACACGAAGGATACTTCAAAAGTTGTGTAATTTTTGAAAAATGAAAATAATGCTTCAATTTATCCGCATATAAAGTTTGAAGAAAAAATTGGACCCGTTCAGAGTAAACCTTTGTTTTGCCTTATTTCGTGCTAAATTTTTGAAAACTGATCAAATTTTTGAAAAACTGTTTGTAACCTTATTTAAAGATATAATTTTGAATCACAGATATTATTAACAAAAATATATTTTTACCCCCAATATTTTCGTTGTAGGAAGGTTTTGGTGAAAAGATTACCTACGATTTAGGCGGTAGTATGTTCACAGATGTACGACGGACGGATTAGCATTTGCCCTAATCGGATTTTTCTCAGTCAAGGATCCTAAAACGTAGATTACTACTTACTAGTCTGACCACTTAGAGTGTTAGGGGAAGTAATTTACAACATATATGAAGAATTACCCAATTGTTTCGCATCATGGATCTAAAATACGAGTTTTTCAGTCGAAAAATTGCATTACATAACTTTTTTGTATACTACATATGCGAGAAAAAAAACATTCAATGGGCAACAAAATGAATATTTGTGTAGTTATGGGACTTAACTGTCCTTATGCTAAAAAAGGCTGAACCAGAAGGCTAATGATCTTTTGGCCAAGGGGCATAAGCTCGTACGTAGCTTTAGAAAGAAAATTACCTCGTAATTTTTACAGAAATATCCTTGAATAAAACCTCAAAGCAAGCCGTTTCTATTAAAATTGTCGTTTCAATTAAAAGCAACGACAATTCCATCTGACCACCAACGCCGTCTGTTCATGTTGATTAAGATAACTAATACGCATTTGAAAGCGCGGCGACAAAATCAAACAGTGACCACTCGCAGTAATGTTTTAGGTAGCCTTAGAAAAACGCAGGAGCAACGACGTAGAACAAATCAGACCAGCCGCCAGATAAACATGCCTGTTTTGTTTTCCCCGTCATGAAACAGCTTCGTGCACGATGCACGACTCGCGAAGCGTAGTCCCTTGTTTACAAATTTGCTGCATTTTCGAGGTCGATATGCTTTCCTTTGTTTATCCCCGTGCGGTGCGGGCGCGCAGAGGAGAGTGAAAGAGGGGCCGGGAGAGGAAGGAGGAAGGGAGAGGGAGGGAGAAAACGGTGAAGCTCTGGCGGGAAACGGCTCGCGTGCAGTTTCCATCCACGGCGCGTGACGCTCTCTTGCGGTCCTGACTGTTCCCTAACGCGCGTAAATATTAACCGGGCGCCGCCTGATAAGATTGACGCCGGTTGTACACCTCCGCTGCCGAACGCCGGTGAGCGGTGGGCGGTGGGCCGCGGCGTTCAGACGCGCCGGACAGTAAGCCTTAACCGCTCGCGCGACAATCTGTTATCGGCGCCAGACAGGGACGGCGTCGCCCGGGCCCGCGACTACCGCAGACAGAGTACGCTGTCAGCGCCTGTCAAAGTGCCACCCTCTGACGGAAGTGTCCAGAAGCGTGCGTGATGCCGGGTTTCGTATTTTCCCTGTTTGCTCCGATCGGTCAAGGGAATTCGAATGTTGAAGCAATAGTGACATGTGGATCAGAGCCACAGTGCTTAGAGTTGATTCACCTGTAAAGCTCTTAGAAAAGTTTTATACCCATTGATTGAGTGATTATTACATGTTTCCTGGCACGTCAAAAAGGTATTCCCGTAAGTGAAGTGTATGTTTTATCACGTGAGGTGGCGGTGATATTTCCCCGTTTGATGGTGACACACGCCGCCGACCTACACTCGCGGACCAGATATGCACCACAGCGGGGCATCGCTCCTGCAGAGACAAGTTCAAAGCCCCAGACACCAGTAATGCACGTAAGTGTGTGTAGGTAAGGGGTCAGGATAAAACAAGGAAGCGGATAATCGCGCGCAGTCCGTGGCCCGTTTGTTAGGGTACTGCTCCGGCATTCACCTGATGTGGATTGGAGAAACCACGGAAAATCAGATCAGAAGAGCAGGCCGCAAGGAATCTCAGACAGCATCTGCATATGGCCTAGCTACGTAGCTAGTCTACGCCATTGTCGGGGTTGAAACTCTGCATCGTCGGGACTCAACCTATAGTAGAACATTACGAAACTGCTGTAAGTTGCATTATCGTCTCCTATATTATTTCAATAGTATACATACGGTACCTTTTGCGGTACACAAAACCGATTTTTATAAATAAGGTCTCTAAAGAAAGATAATTTCACGGATATGTAAAAAACTGTACTTTGACATGAAAAATATGAAGGATTTGTTTTAAAAAACGCTTTTAAATATTCATGTCAAATGCACCCCACAGAACTCAGTCAGATATATCGTTAAATAAGACCGAAACGAAGTGTTCTAGGGCCTTAAAAACTAAACTTTTGAGATCAATGGCCTCAAAGAAACATGAAAAATACCGTAATCTACAGAATGAAATTTTTGGACTTTCTATTAAATTTTTGCTTGCCCGGCAGCTATCGATACTACCAATGCCACCTAGATTTCAACCCTTGGTGACGGTGGTCATCTTACATCATGCTTAGAATGGTTACATTTCTCTATCTTATACAATTTATGCTTTCTGTGCACACCGTGATTTGTGCAGACCGACAAGATTTATTTGCATAATTATCAATTCAAGATTCGTTTCCGCAGGAACAACTAGAAGTACTCTTAATAGTTGGTTGATACCGATGAAGCTGTTTCTTATGTATGCAGTGAATAACTCCATTTAATGTTTTGCCTAGGTCTCCAAGTGCTATATACCTAATTGTGGAGGGATGTGGGTGTACAGTGATGAGTGAAGACGTGTCGTGTTAGGTTTGGTTTGTGTTTTACCTGTACCAGTATTTTAGTTATCAGCAGTGATTCGGTGAAACTTTCTTGTCACTGTGTTCAGTCACGTATCTTTCTGAAAATTAAAACCTTTTTAATATTTATGTGAATATCATGAAAACCGAAAGCAAACTTTCAAAGAATATTAAGTAATTACTTCAAATATTTTTAAGGGACTGTTGTGAATTGTTTCAAGAAATCTCTCGTTAATACCGAATAAATCTTTATTGAAAATTTAATTTCCACATCAATTGCATTGTTTTTTATTTTTATTTTATATTGTGTTAGTACAATGGAAGTACATTTTTAAACAAAAAAATCCGTTTCGTTAACAACTTTCCCTCTTAAAATGGAAATAGAAGAATAGGGAAGGGTGTGGGGTTTTAACATGCGGGAGTCCTCTCACGAGTATTCAGAGATAGTAGGAGAAAACTTGTGCTATGGTACAACATAAAGAACGTACTTTTTAAATTAAGTAAAGTAAAACAGCTTGAAATATATAAACAACAAAAATTAAAAAGCGCAAGTCTACAATGCTACGTTAATTAATTTTAAAATGCAACCAAAATTAAAATTATAAAAAGAATAGCGCGAGTCACTTGACAACTGACAACGATCACAATTTAAAGACGCACGATTTAAATGTTGGCGATATCTGGATGTGTGTACATCAATGTTCAGCTGTAAACGCATATATTGTTAGTGACACACTGTTTGATGTGAAATATATGGAGTCGGTTCGCTGAGACTGTCAACACGTAAACTTCGTTTGAGCAACATTTCCATAAACCGAAGTTAAGTCTAAGCATACAGAATTGTTTCTAATGCTAACAAATGGTATTTATTACTCAAAGGTTAAAATATTCGTTTTATTATTTTTTGGCCCAGAATTAATTTTCTTGATGTACGTAAGAACGCAGAATAAAATCAAATATTTTTAGTACACAAATATTTTTTTTAATTTTCGCACCCCAGTAAGCTGGCGCCCTGCCTCTCCAAAAACCCCTTTATTCCTCATAACAAATATAGGGAAGGGTTGTGCTTGCCCAATCATGTATTTTCGCATGAAAAACTTTACTTGGCTTTCTCAAGAACTATGTTTGAGTAAATGTATTAATTGTAATCAATCAGAATGTCTGTAACTGGTTATTAACTACTCAAAACTTACATATATGAATATTCACCAAAATTGACCAAGCAATTGTATTAAGACCGAACCATATTTTAACTGAGATAAAAATATGTTAACTAAGTATTACACCCTTATCTGTAGCCTCTATTAATTAACAACAATGTATTTACTATTGTTAAATCAATGTACCAGTTTTGAGTCGCAAATGATCTGGGATGTCGATGCGGCTATAAATATATATTTTTTTAAAGAATCAGTTATCTCACGTTCTTATAGGCGAACAAACAAAAAAACAAAACTGAAAAAAATATGAAACTCTACCCAAAATTTAAGGTTAAGTTGAGGCTAGGAAAAAAATATTCCCGCATTTTTTCAAAAATAAGGGCTGTACAAAATGAAACAATTAACAATTGTTCTTATAGGTTCGCTGTCAGTAATGGTTACGTAATATTGAACGGCCTGCGTAATATTGAACGGCCCCTAATATATTCCTGCCAATATTAACATATTTCAACCATCACATGCAAAACGCATTATTATAAACAGGATTTCTACGCAGTATTTAATGCAAAATTACGCATGAAAACATGCATTAACAAATAGCTACACATGCACGATGCATACAATGAACAGTGAACAATTAAACATTTTTCTAAATGTAACTTTGTCAAATTCATCTCTTTGTCATAAACGAATGTTTATTACGGTGAATGAAAATCACAGAAGAACTTCAAAACGAACTACACTTCACAACCTATACAGAGGTGAAGAGAACAGCGAAGAATAGAATGTCATCAAGGCATTTTTTGCCTTCAGAATGAAGATGATGATGATGATGATGATGATGATGACGAGTGTTTTTCAGCGCAGAAAATACTTCCTACCTCACAAGACGTAATTGGAGCAAACTTCAAAAACTGAAATCTGAGCCAATGTGAGGTCGAATTTCGCATTTTCCGATTTTTAACCATTTATAAAGTTCCTTATATTATTGCGATATTTCAAATCAGTATTTGAATTTGACGCTTTCTAAACTGTCCTTGGCCAGTTACACTCATGCCTACAAACTATTAATTCCAAAGACATTTTAATGTCTTCAACATTTTTTATGACACCATTAGAGGTAAACTTGTTTCTAGTTTCTGAATTGCTTTTAAAAATTTCACAAAATTTGATTAAATATAAATTTTATTTTTACAACAATAGTTTTAGTATACTTTATTTCCTTTTATTTATTTACTTATTTATTTTTCACACTCAGGCGGACCGAGAGACTGCTCTTCTTTGTTTTCCCATCCCATTGTCAGTTAATAAGTGATAATGAGTTATTGCTTCCAACATCTACATTAATCTTTGTGAGTAAATCACTTGGCTTGGTTCATTTCGTAATTTTGTTCATTGAGCGAGTATTAGCTTCCAAAATTCTAGCTCGTGTGTTGCAGAAATAATCTTCGTAGTAAACAATTGGAAATTAAAACTATTGGAATATCTTATTACAATCAATTTATCTTAACTCTTTCTTTTTGTACAGCACAGAGTTTTGAAATATGATTATAAAAAAATCTTAGAGCCTCAAATTAGTTTTATATTTCTTAATTTTTCTGTTCACTCGCCTTTAAGAAAGTGTGTTAAATGATAATCATTCTACAGCCATGGTTTTTGGAACAAAAGTGCGAGAATATTTTTTCCTAGAGTCTCAAATTATCCTTAAATTATCCTTAAATTATCCTTAAATTATCCTTAAATTGTCCTTAAATTATCCTTAAATTATCCTTAAATTATCCTTAAATTATCCTTAAATTATCCTTAAATTATCCTTAAATTTTGCGTAGGGTTTCAATTTTTTTTTAATTTATTTTGATGTGTATTCGCCCACTAGAACCGATGATAACGGTTTCTCTTTGTACAGCCCTGATTTTTTAATAAAATTGCGGGAATATTTTTTTTTCCTAAAGCCTCAAATTAGCCTTAATTTTTTAAGTGTGTTTTCATATGCTTTAATTGATTTTTAGAGGGCTTTTTCTAGGTGGGCGCTGCTAGCTTACATCTAAAGTTAACCGTTCTCACGAGTTTGGGAAATCCACGACTTCAAAATTCGGGAATAGAGCATACATGCCAGAGTGTATTGAAAATTGGTGGGAATATATTTGAAGTCATGTCTTGTACCCTGATGGGCGGAAATCTATTTTTGAACATGTGTATTTGAATTCTATGAGGGAATGTATTCCATGCATATATTGCGAGCCATTCTATGACTTATAAGTTAGGGTCTAGAAATTGGAGCATTGTTGGTGTACAAGAAAAGGAACACGTATCAAAAATTGTATATTCTAGAAAAGTAATGTAGTTGGCAATAGTATTTTTTTAATAGTGAAAAATTCATTACAATGGATCACAAGGCAGCCTGTATCACTTAAGACTCGACTGCAAAATAAACTGCTCCACACATGTAAACACCCATGTTCTACTGCGAAATGATAGTTTTTTCGATGTTTCACTTATCTATATTCATCTATATCTCCTTTAAACTCTTATCAAAGCTAATTATAAGCAAAAAGTAGTTTTTTGGGCTCGAAATTCTCGCCTGTTTTCGCGTTTGACGCTATGATGTTTTAGTTTGATGCATGATTGCTTTACTTCGAGGTGAAGATCTAATTTCAAATGTCGCAACGTTCAAGGGCAAGTGTAATTCAATCTCAGGTCGCGCAGAAGCAAGCACAGAACTGTTCTAGGGATTCAGACCGGATCATCTCGAGACATAAGCTGCTTAATTGGTTGGTACTTCTCCTCCGACTAAGGGTTCTCGGTATTGAAGATGTGTTGTTGTTAATTGTATGTTCCATACGAATGTGGCATATAAAGGACATAATTAGACTAGTTTAATAATTTCCGCGATAAGTAAATTATATTGTACAACATCGAAAAGAAAGAAAACACAAAAACTTCATTTACACGTATTCCTATATTGCCTATGATTCCATTTTGTCAGTGTCATATCATATGATGTAATATCTTTACAGAAATTCAGCATATTTACAGGTCGGCAATATAGAATTAGTTTGTCGTCGCGTTCGAGGAAAAATTTAAATCTGTAGAAAATAAGTAATCTAAAAACATGCAAATGGGCGAAGCGAACAGTGAAATTAAACATATTGTATTTGAACTTTCCGAAAATAATTTTTAATAAAACACGAGTAATTTTATAAGTATAATTAGTATAAATAAATAAATTACGTATTTACAAATCAAGTGATCTAATGTAAAGTATTTCGAGTAAAAAATGTAACGATAAATTATCGAAAGATTACAATGCTATCATTTTCTAAACTTTGAAGAAATTGATAGCGACTTGGGCAAGAGAAGTTTTCTATTTTATTTTATTATTTCTACTTTTCCTCATCTCTGCATATTTAGTTTAGAGAAAAAAATTTGGATACCGTCCAAAATATTCATAGTCGAGAATTCGGCGGTAAAATCAGTTTTATGAGTGAGTTCAAAAAAGCTGTTTTTACCATGATGTCTACATGACTATGAGGATATTTGTGCGTGCGTAACGCATAACTTGTCTAGATTATACCTTCTGCTCTCATTTGATCCACACACGAGAAGTAAGTTATGTGGGGCAGTTCCAAAGACATTTAATGATTAGTGATGATTTAGTAATTACGTAATTTTTAACATTAACGCACATCTAGTTTGTATTCCTGAATTGCCTACAAGTTCACCATCAATACTTTTCAGTCTTTACCGTTTATTGCATGAAACAGCCCGCAGTCTATATTCTCCTACGGTCTCTCCGTTCCTAACGCAGTGGCGCTTCAGTATCACGCTTTCAGTAGCAACGCATGTTTGCCGCGTATGTCCCGTAAAGTAATTAATTAACGAGATGATGCGCCGCCCTGAACATAGTGGAGGCGGGGATGGGGAGAAGGAAAGAGTGAATATTGGTGCAGAAGCCAAAGGGAGTCTCCGGCTTCTAAGCGGATTACGAACTGCCCCTATCGACATGGCCACGCCTCGCCTCACCGCTGTCATCGCCACATTGACCTCCCTCGCATTCATTGCCTCTGCCTTCATTTTCCTCATATATCTCTGCCTATTACTTAAATAACGCGGCTGGTCCATAAAGTAATGAATGCTTTTTGTTTGAAACACGGCAATTTCTTCTATGTGTTAAAAGTAAAAATTATAACAAAATTCAACTAATATTTTCCAAAAAATACGAGGCATATTCAGAGAGTAAGTTCCCTAAGATGTCAACAAAAAGGAAACGATTTCATGGAAAACTTTATTGGGGCAGATACAGCAGTTCTTTTACTATTTATTCACATAATTACTACCAACATTGAGTCATTTGTACCGGGAGAGATGGCTCAAGGAATCAACTGATGTCACTGCTGTGCCTCTGACCAGGAGGGCCTAGTTGCTAGTCCCGTCAGTGACAGGATTTTCGACACTAGCTTGTCAGCTAGGTCGAATTCAGTCACTATCTGGAAGATAATTGCAGAGACCGGCTGCTCTGATCGGTAGTTTTCCGTGGTTTGTCCGATCAACACCAGGAGAATGCCGGAGTAGTACCCTAACAAGCTGGCCACGGACCGCGCGCGATCTTTCCTACCTCCTCTTTGTATTATCCGCACCTCTTACACACAGCTACACTAACATGCACTACACATGCCGGGAGACCGGTCGGGAGCTTAAAGCTGGTCCCGGCTGGGGTGGTCTCCCGCTGTTGGGCGACACCTAGATGGGGAAAACCCCGCTAGCCGATGGTAGGTTGGAGACGGATCTCGCCATACAGCGCGGGAAGACCATCGCCACCTCCCGAACATAAACATGCACTACACTTACGGGACTAATAGCCTGGTTAGTTTACGCGCCCGGAATCACTAACAATCAATCAATTTTTGAGTCATTTGTGATAACATGAGTTTAACATTTGTATCCCTCTATCGTTGATGCTGGAATAGGAGTCTTGGGATAGGTATCAATGTTGATGAGAGCTCGGAAGAATATTTAAGCATTAAGTTCCAAATAAAAATTAATGTATGCATATCATAATATCTATAAATAAACTTTATAAAATATAATTTTATATATATATATATATATATATATATATATAAACGCAATTTGTTTTCTTCAGTAATTTATTTGAATAAAAATAAATGGTTATGAAGATTAACTATAGTTAAGCTTCCAACATGAAGAAATACGGCAGAAAATAAATTTTGTATAAATTTCCAAATTACATTTTTAAAATTTGTGTAATTTCATGTATAGAAATGAATTAAATATTATGATTAAATACTCACGCATTTCGTTTTATGTAGAACTTGACGCTTAAGTACTCTTTCAAGCTTTCATTAACAATTGGTTTGATTTATATGTAAATACATTGTCATGTACACCTGAAATGAACAACTATATATTGAACTGAGTGAGTCAATTTAAAATTCTAAACGTTTTTGCTGCATGCTAGTGGTGTAGAGAATATTAGAAAATACAAATGTATTATTTACAATTACCATCATCTCCGTGATAATCATCACCTGCATCAAATTATCATAATAGGACATGGCTTCACGAGAAAAATATTGAAAGCATTTCTTCAAAAAATAGAAATGTAATGAAAACAAGTTGTTTAGAGATGTTTCAATTTCTAAGCTTTTGTGTGATTGTTTGAATGTATTTATTGTAGATTATCGTATTGAACAAATTTCAAAGTCTACAACTAAGAAAACATGACTAAGGGTTAAAACGGTGTGTTAAAATAAAAGACAATTTTAGGTAGAGCAGACTCCCACAGATTTAAAAAGACGACATGAATAGTGAGCATTTCAGATTCACTAAAAACCCTTTTCTGACGCCCTTCCAGGAAGATGATTTGAACA